ATTTCTAGATTAGATGGTGGTCGGAGGTAGTCAACAGGAAACCCCGAACCCGGGCTTCGTGCTACTTGGCACTCGTCAGCAAGGTGTACCAGTAATCTTGAGGGAACTAGTGCTCCCTGGCGGATTCGATCTCGTGTCACCCAGCTCCACAGTCAGAGACGTTACCACTGAGCTATCCGGGCAACGACTGACCTCCTGTAGGACTAATCTCAATATATAGTGCACGCAGTGTCGAGTCACCTAGACTGGTGGCCACATTGCAACATGATCGATAGCATTCGATCTGCACTAAATAAGGACTTGACACACATGACATTGATCACCACCCAGTGATCAATCAATTGTGACTTACAATTTTGTGCTCATGAAAACCTTTTGAACTATTTAAGCCAAGATGTAGCGGATACAATGAATAGCTCAATACTGGCCCATTTAATGCAAACTGATCAAAACCCCAGTATAAGTCAATGTTTCTCAATAGTTTATCGGGTTTGTCATGTTCTGACAAAATTACTCCTACTTAATGTCTTTCAAAACAGCAGAAACAATAGTCATTCGGATCAAAAAACCTGGGCTATGTGTACAAAAGAAATGTGTTCAACCCTCTTCTCTAAATCTGGTCAACTTCAAGGCCAATTAATGAATAGTAGTCGTAACTACAGAGTGACCTAACTTGACTAATCAACCTTTCTTAGTCACATATAGCTGTCTTTTTTGCTTTAATTCATTATTATTATTACTACTGTCGATTGACAATCACTAACAATTTCCCCACCACCATCATCCCACTTTATTATTTCGTATTGAATTCATAGAACTCCACATACAATAAAGTCTTTCAACAAAAATGTGATCAAACTTCCAACTATATAATATCTCTTACTTTATGTTATCCATATTTATTCTAAAGAATAATCTCACATCTTTTGATTGAGATAATGAGTTGATCAATGTTAGACCACCATCGAAAACGTTGAAGTACTGGACGTTTGTTTCGTACTAGTATGGTACTTCTCAGCAGTTCACATCCACAACCCCGCATGTGTGACTCGAACTCAAGACCTTTGGTCTTCAATCGTAGTCTAACATTGATCGTTTCATGATTTCAATCGAAAACTCATCAATATTAGCCTTAGCAACATTAGCAGCTTTATTCGATATCATAAACAATCTTAAATTCACGATGTGTTTTTTTACCTTAAATCTGGTCAATTTTCACATTAATAATTTGGATATATAATGATAGAACATAAAGAGAATTAATTGAAAAGACTATTCTTCTTTCATAGAATGGTGTTTGAATGGATTATATTGCTTCCATAGATAATAATAAACGTATTATTCAATATTATATATGTAGTTCAATATAGAATTCCCAACATACCATATCTCACCGAATCTCATTTAATTTCCGTATATGTCATTTATCGTAAACAATCGGAATACTTAAGATTTCTCGGTTACATCAGCTGTTATGTAATCGTCGTGTAATAGGTATGCTAGGGAAGGGATTGAAGAGTTTTTTGTACTTTTCATTCAGTGATTGAGTTCTAAAGTAATATGAGTTTAGTTCCGCTACAAGATATACAAAAGAGAAGTTGTAAGTGTAGTAGATGATTGGTATCTAATAAAATATCAGTGATTAGTTGTCTATTCATAAAAATATACATAATAATGCCTTCATTACTATAAACTGGAGTTCAGGAAGAATAATAGTGAATAGTACGGGATAATAATTCTTGTACAAACATTTACAAATTGTAAAAGTGTCCAGTAATTCGGAGATCATGTAGACAACCAAGATGGATCAGAGTATAATGTATATGGAACAGAAGTTTTACTATTCATTTAACGTATGTAATTGGTTTTCCTTTCTTATGCTAAAGTTAATAGTTGGAAATCTGTTATGTCCCGATAAACATAATGAATTGGGAACTTTTGGGATCCATTTATGGACCAATACGATACCTATATTTTTTGTCGTATAATTTTTAAGTAACTAAACTATTCATATTCATGTCCCTCTTATTATGAGCTTTATTTTGACCTATGAAGTATTATTATACGATTTATTATTGTTGAATTATGCCCTGTCTATTAATTACTACCTCCCTCATTCACAGTCACATTTGGCTAATTCTTGTACAAATGTTGTTTCCTATTTTATGGTACGATGTGGTCTGTCTGGTTGGTATATAAACCGAGTATGTTTGAAATAAACGATTCCTATTGCAGAAGCTGAGATTAGTGTTCTAGACTTAACTGACTTGGCTAGGCAGGAAGCAGGACCGATAAGTACTTTAGACTGCTCTTACGGGTTTTACACGTCATTGATCCGATCGATAATTCACTGGTCTCTAATTGACGGTATCGTTACGTTATACATTAACAGGGTACACAGGTCACAAGTTATTAAAAAATTCAAACTTGTCACGTAGATACGTTTGTATCCTAGAGTTGATGTTCACTTCGGTACTCAAATAGGATGAACCGCGTATACTGTATTCCATTGTTGGCTACCATCCATCTCTGGTTATAGTACGATCACACATTTGATAAAATACTTTGTATAAATTTAACTAATAGTATTATTTGAATAACAAGATATAGTAATGATATTCAAACATGTACTCCAAATCAACTTGTATAGTAACATGTTACTTCATGTTTCTAAAAGAATAATCTTCAGTTTTATCAAAATTCTAAATCTGATTTTTACTACTTATAAAGAATTGAATATTTCGAATCCAATTAGATTAGAACTTTAAAATATATGTGAATTACTTACATACTTACTTAGGCCTTTTACCTCTTAATGGAGAATAGGTCGTCGACAGGCATTCTCCAACGCATTCTCTACCGGATCTTTATTTGTGGTTCTATCCAGATGATGTTCATTCTTTTCATGTCTGTCTCCACTTCTCGGCGTAATGTGTTCTTCCATTTTCCTCTTCTCCTTTGGCACTGAGGATTCCAAGTGAGGGCTTACCTTGTGTGGGTCCCATCCACTTTTAGTGCTTCTTCCTGATTTCCTCGTCAATAGGAATCTGGTTTGTTCTCTCCCATAGTAGGTTGTGATTGATATTGTCTGATCAACGGATCCGAAGTATTTTGCATAAACAATTGTTATTAAACACTTGTATGCTCAGGATGATGGTTTTCGTAGTTCTACAAGTTTACACCACATACGGTAGAACTGTGTTGACATGTGTATTGAAAAATCCTGAAATTGGTGTTGTTTGATAGAGAGTTGTTTAGAGTTCCAGATGTTCTTCAATTGTAGATATTCTGCTCTTGCCTCACATCTGCATCAGACCCACCGTACTCATCAATGATGCTGCCTAGATATGTAAATGTTTTTACATCTTCCAAATCTTCTCCATCAAGTGTGACTTGATTGATGCACGTTGTGTTGTGTCGCAGAATCTTGCTTTTCCCTTTGTGTATGTTGAGACCTACTGCTGCTACACTGGTCGTGTTATCCTGCATTTGCTGTTGCGTTGGCGATAGAAGGTTTAGATCATCCGTGAAGTCTAGATCGTCCAGCTGAATCATAGCTGTCCACTCTATCCCATATTAAGACTGCTTAAAAAGTATTATTTTATGACGGCAGCTAAAACACTTACTAGGAAAACGTCTTACATAAGTTCTGAAATATTAAAACCCATACTTTCACACTAGTTTCATTATCATTCTGTTGTATTTATCAACTCAAAAATGCATGGAGAGAAAAAGAACACAGAGGATATATCACATTATTCGATTGAGAGTAAAGTAATGTACACCAAAACTACTTAGAGTTAAGCTAGAACCACACCAGAAGATGAACACTGGATTTATAGAAGTAGTCACTTCAATGGTACTAATGTATAAGGGAAAAATTGTGTATAAGGATCTAGTGCAAGAAGAAAGAATTAGTTCGTAGGAAGAAATATTTCAAGAAATTTCATAGTTTGAGGGAAGACAAAGAGTGAATACACCTACACCATTATGATCAATTCTGAGTCATGTCACACAGAGTCTCCAACCATTGGTTACGATAGTCACGCAGATCCAAACTAAGTAGTCTGTATCTACCAACATGGATAAAACTAGAAGTTAGTGACTTCAAGTACTAATGTCACATTTTGATTTGTCCACCCTCAAATCTTCTTCCATCCATCCCTTAATCAGAATCATGTGTCGTAATAATCAATGTTCAAGCATATTCAACACACACACATGACCTAACGATCTTAGTCAATGAACAGTTGACAACCTTATCCACTTATTTACTATCATATCTTCTCTTCTAATTAATCACCTAGGCAATAATATGTATCTATCTATATAAATCAAATGATTCGAAATTATAATGAACATTTACATGACACTTTTGTTGTTTCCTATTTTTAAATATAACAAATCATCAGCATAGTTACTAAGGCCTTTTTTTGTAGTTTTTTTTATTCAAAAAAAACATTCATTCATTATTGATTGATTGATTCAATAGAATATGTGATAAAGGTAACTGGTTACAAAACTATTCATCATTATTGTGTAATAAAATATGTAATCAATATAATCTATAACATGTCGTTGTTGTTGTTGTTGTGGTGGTGGTGGTGATGGTGGTGGTTGTAGTTGTTGTTGTTGTTAGAATCATCTCAATATAAAAACTAATCGAACTAATGTTCTTATAATGATGATGATTATAAGTGCTCAAATACACAAGACTGTTTTCATCAGTATACCTATACATGTATATGTATATGCATATATATGTATGTACATGTATCTAAGACATTCTTTAACTCATCTAATCTAATCATCATGGTCATTACTGAGATGATCCACTTTTTAAAAATAAAAAAAATATTTTTTTATTGTACATTTATCTATTCAATGTCTATTCTATTAAAATCAACAATAAATACAATTAAATTATGGTTAGTTTAATTCATACAATGATAGATGAGCATCATTTTCGAAGTACCTAAATAATACACTTTCTTTTGAAGAAGAAGAAGAAGATGATGATGATGATGATGAAGAATTAGAAGAAGGTGGAGTAGAAGAAGAAGGTGAAGAAGATGGAGAAGAAGGAGAAGATGGAGAAGAAGGTGGAGTAGAAAAAGAAGGAGAAGAAGATGGAGAAGTAGAAGAAGGTGGAGTAGAAGAAGAAGGTGAAGAAGATGGAGAAGAAGGTGGAGTGGAAAAAGAAGGAGAAGAAGATGGAGAAGTAGAAGAAGGTGGAGTAGAAGAAGAACGTGAAGAAGATGGAGAAGAAGGAGAAGATGGAGAAGAAGGTGGAGTAGAAAAAGAAGGAGAAGAAGATGGAGAAGTAGAAGAAGGTGGGGTAGAAGAAGAAGGTGAGGAAGATGTAGAAGAAGGAGAAGATGGAGAAGAAAAAGAGGAGGAAGATGGGGAAGAAGAAGAAGATGGAGAAGAAAAAGAGGATGGAGAAGAAGAACAAGATGAAGAAGAATAAGAAGGCGAAGAAGAAGGAGATGGAGAAGAAGAAGAGGAAGAAGATGGAGAAGAAGAACAAGATGGAGAAGAAGAAGAAGAAGAAGAAGGCGAAGAAGAAGGAGAGGATGGAGAAGAAGAAGAAGATGTAGAAGAAGAAGGACAAGAAGGAGGAGAAGACGGAGAAGAAGAATGTGAACAGTTCCATTTTTGTTTATTGTAATCCATCTATAGACTGTATTAGAGATAAACTAGAAATAAATCAATAATAACAAACAGAAAAAAGAAATACTGTTATTTCATCTATTCAATATTTATGTTTGAATAAGATAGTGTTGAATAACAATTGAATACATGAGTCAATTGAAACTAAACCACCATGGTAAATCTCGAAGTACTGGAGTTCTAGTGAGAAGGAGTAACCAATAGAGTTTAAGTGAGTCTGTTGCGAGATAATAACACGTTGATGACAATGGTAGATGTGTCACTCAATTTCATGGATTGATTGAATTTAGACATTATTACCTCTATATACCGTCCAGCCTAGTGGTCTAGAAGTTAAGTTGTTTGTGCACGGAGCCCATAGGTCATGGGTTCGAATCCCTTTGATGTGGGATCGTTGATGCGCACTGTTGAGTAAATTGAAGTTAGACCATCATGGAAAACCTGGATGTACAGGATGGCCGTTTCATCCTAGTATGGGACTTCTCAGCATTGCGTGTCCACGATTTAACCTCGTGAGATTCGAACCCAAGACTGACTGGTCTTGCGCGTGAACGCTTAACCACTAGACCAACTGACTCATGATCTCAACTATTAAAATTACTATAAAATCCACAAATTCCCTTCTGATATCAATCAATATATGTTCAATAGTGACGGTCTTCAGAAGATACTTTCTTAAGTTCAAGTGAAAAGCAGTGACCGGTGGAGTTCAGATGGGTTTGTTTTGAAGTAATAACTCAATGAAGACAGTCGTGGACGGTGGCTCAATTTCGTGGATTAGTTGAAGTTACATATTAACACCATTGGATGCCAACTGGCTCAGTGGTCTAGAGATTAAGAATTCGCGTGTGAGACCGATAGCTCCTGTGTTCGTATCTCACGATGCGGGATCATGAATGAGCATCGCTGAGTAGTCCAACAAAAGTGCGAAACGTTCGTCCAATGCTTTCAGGTTTTCCATGATAGTCTAGGTTCAAGTGACTCATGATATTAACTATTAAATAAAGATGATAATCTATTCATTGTTGCCATTTATGTTTTGAATGTGATTCAATAAAAAATGTTCCAATTCATTCTTTCTATATCATTTAAGAAATAAGGGTAAGCACCATGTATTAATTTCTATTCTTTACCTTAGTAAAACAATTTAAAAACCAATAGTGTACGTCATCCTCCGGTTGAACATACGTAATCATCATCATTAGTTTATGAATAAGAAAAAACTATCTTACACAAACTTTACTTACTTACTTACTTACTTACTTACTTACTTACTTACTTACTTACTTACTTACTTACTTACTTACTTACTTACTTACTTACTTACTTACTTACTTACTTACTTACTTACTTACTTACATCTGTCGCCGCAAGGGAGAGTAACCCATTGACCAATATTCTGTAGCATAATTTGTGATTAATATAAAATGTATTAGATAGACCACAACCACATAACGACCCAGCTCTATTCGTAGAAATCGTAGGAACATTATTTTTGCATTTACTTTTGTAACAAAGTTAATTTGGAAAAAAGAAAAATGTCGAAATCTTATTCTCAATTCATTAATGCGTATTTACTTCATTACTCTCTCTCTCTCTATCTATCTATCTATCCATCTAAATATGTAGCATAGAGAATATGTTCTACTCAAATGAGGTTTATATCATTTCAGTTTATTATCATAAGTAATTTCACTCAAATCAATAAAAAACAACTAAAAAAGACAAGAATATTTGTGTATATGTAGTGAACGAGAACATAAATAGGGATAATCGAATGTATCTAAAACCTACTTACTTAGATACTTACTTACGTACTTATGCCTGTTACTCCTCGTAAAGGAGGAGCAAAGACCATCAACCAACGTTCTACATCCAACCCTGTCCTGAGCAATCCTTCCTAGCTACTTCCAGTTGTTATTCATCATTTTCATATATGATTTCTATTTCTCCACGTAATATATACTTTGGCCTTCCTCTTTTCCGCTTCTCTTCACGATTACAAGTTACCGTTTGTCTCGTGATGCAGTTTGCTGATTTTCTCAATGTAGATCCTATCCACTTTCAACATATTTTCTCAATTTCTTTTTCAGATGGAAGTTGGTTTGTTCTCTATCACAGTAGACTGTTACTGATGGAATCTGGCCAATGTATGTTGAGTTACTTGCATAGACAACTATTTATAAATACTTGTACATCCTTGATGGCGGTTGTAGTAGTTGTTCACGTTTCTGTTCCGTACAGTAGAACTGTGTTGACGTTCATATTGAAGATTGTGACTTTGATATTGGTTGATAGTTATTTTGAGCTCCATATGTTTTTCGATTGTAGGAATGCGGCTGTTGCTTTGCTAATTCTCACCTTTACGTCTGCATCTGATCCTCGTTGTTCATCGATGATGCCTCCCAGGTACGTGAAGGATTCTACATCTTCCAGAGTTTTGCCATTGAGTGTGATCGGGTTAGTGTTCTAGGTGTTATATCTGAGGATCTTGCTTTTTCTTTTGTGTATGTTGAGGCCTACTGATGCAGAGGCTGCTGCTACACTTGTTGTCTTCATCTTCATTTGTTCATGTGTATGGGATAGGAGGTTTAATAAGAAATAATGGTAAGATTATAATTTATGAACAAAACAATCAGATCTAGGTTAACAGAACTTTGGTGGGAAATTCATTCATTCATTTGGTTAAAGAGGACACGGTTAGGACATCAAGCTATGGGTTTTCACGCACATGTTACATATTGTCAAGGATTTTAGGATACCGTTATTTATCAGCTATTAACAGCAATTTTTCCCCGTCTTACGTCAATTTTCGTGATGTTTGTGCTTGTTACATGGTTTTTATTCAAGTTTATCAATAGTTAAACGTATTTATTGTTCACAACCTGGGTCAGCCTAATGTGGTTATTTATAATAATGCAAACTCAGGCAAGTGAAGTTCACCATTTAACAAGTCAACAATAGACCATCATCACAGTCTTATGTGAAAATGAGTTCTAAGATCTTTTACATTTGATTTACCTCCTTAATTATGATGGTGATCAACATGGATGTTAGTAGTTGTTTATAAAATGTAGGTTGAAGCAATTCAACGTTCAACTATTTATGAATGTTATATAACTGGTTAATATATAGCCATAAACAGTTCTATCCATTATAAGTATAATCATTTTCGATTGAACTGAACACCCAACAAATCCAGAGCATTTGAAATACGGAATGACCGCCTATTGCGAAGGCGTTCAAGGTCGTTGAAATAGAACGGCGGGCAGCTTTGAAAGGGTCTGACTTTTTTTTCTCGTGCCGTTCAAGAGTATTTTTTCATTATAGCTGATATCAGTTTGTGATGAAAACTATAAATCTAATTCCTATCCCTAATCACCAATTGTAAATTATAATCTTTATTCCTCACATTGGTTTGTAACTCTTATTTATTCTTAGTAAGTAGGTGAACATTCTCAAGATTAATTTAGTGTTGCTTAAAGATCGTCCATAAATTATAGTCTCGCTGTAAAAATTGTCCACGATCTCGCATGAGGGACTCGAACCCGAGACCTTCGGTTTACATCACTGAGGCGGAGTCCGATAGGGATTTAGCCTAGATCAACTCATGAATTTGAATATCACAATTACTACAATCTCTACAAACCCACATTCTAATAATAATAATAATAGTAATCATGTGCTCACTAGTAACTGACTTCAAGATGTGTTCCCTGGAGTTTCAGTGAAAAACTGTGACTAGTGCAGTCCAATACGTGTCGGGTGGACACAGTTATCCACCACAGACAATGGATGAAGGGTTGTGAAAGATCATCGATTGATTGGAGTTAGACATTAACACTGTTGGATTCCGGCTCAGTTTTCTAGAGGTTAAGCGTTTACGAACGAGACCGAAGGTCCTTGGTTCGAATATCTTTGGTACGGTATCATGGATGCACACTTGTGAAGAATGCCATATTTGAGACGAAACGACCGTTCAGTGCCTCAAAGTGTCCAACGGTATTCCAGCTTACATCGATTCATCAATGCAACTATTATGATTTCTATAATCTTCACAAACCCCAGTCAGATTTAAGTTAATCTAACAGTTTCAGACCTATTAGCATTATTCAGGTGAAAATATAAGATTAATTAAACATTGTAATTTTATTTAACTTTCTAGGTTAGGCATGTTCAAGATAGGGTTTATAGTGAAGATAATGTGTAAAAGATACACATAAGCAAACACTGATACACTGAATTCTTTAAGATCAACAATAACGGGAATATCGAATTAACTCTTTCTAGAAATGAAGTATTAAGGAAGAATAAACTAATAGTTACATTGAATATGAGTCATCACTAGTTTACAGTTCTTTGACAAACATAATTCTATATGTGGTATGTGCTACTGATGTCAACCGATATGAGTAGTATGTATCATCAATTGAAAGTGAAATGTCTGGAGGCAGAAGGTTTAGAAGATGAAAGAAAAGAGAACGAGAACAAAGAATGTTTGATATGGAAAGGAAAGAGCAATGTAGTCTGAGATGGTTGATTGACGTTTAAAAAAAGGAATAGTCAAGTTTGAAACGATTGATTGATATTTTACAGATGAAGTATTTACTGTATGGTTCTCAGATTTGGAATCTTTCACATACCTAGAAAGCATCATCGATGAACAACGAGGATCGGATGCAGATGTAAAGGTGAGGATCAGTGCAGCAACAGCCGCACTCCTACAATTGAAGAACATATGGAACTCAAATTAACTATCAACCAATATCAAAGTCACAATCTTCAATATGAACGTCAACACAGTTCTACTGTACGGAACAGAAACGTGAACAACTACTACAACCGCCATCAAGGATGTACAAGTATTTATAAATAGTTGTCTATGCAAGTGACTCAACATACATTGGCCAGATTCCATCAGTAACAGTCTACTGTGATAGAGAACAAACCAACTTCCATCTGAAAAAGAAATTGAGAAAATATGTTGAAAGTGGATAGGATCTACATTGAAGAAATCAGCAAACTGCATCACGAGACAAACGGTAACTTGTAATCGTGAAGAGAAGCGGAAAAGAGGAAGGCCAAAGTATATATTACGTGGAGAAATAGAAATCATATATGAAAATGATGAATAACAACTGGAAGTAGATAGGAAGGATTGTTCAGAACTGGGTTGGTTGTAGAATGTTGGTGGATGATCTATGCTCTTTCTTTACGAGGAGTAACAGGCGTAGGCGACTAATTATTTCTTATTGATATCAATATTGTATACATAAGTTTCTTTCATAGTTTCACAAACATTTATTGATCATAATTAATTCTGAAGAAGAAAAAAAGAAACATAATGAAAATAAGAAACTGATGATTTTACACTGGGTAAACAAAAATGATCAATCGATTTAATTTTTTATTGTTGTTCATTATTAATCAATAAACTATGATCATCTATTGAATTGATTATTTCATTTAGATATCTAAATCAGTGATAGATTGACTTGATGGAAATAGTGTTTTTCCATTGAATAATACAGATAGTCATTTATAATTTAAATGATTTTGTTTGTATTTATTTACGAAATTGCACCATCGTACACCATCGTCTTCAATGAGTTGATATCTTAAAACAGACATGGTTGAAGTCCAGTGGTCACAGCTTCACATTAGAACTGTAGGAAATGCTCCTTGAAGTCAGTCACTAGTGAGTAGATGATAATTATCAGAAGAGGTCTTATAGAGATTTTAGTAATTTCAACAGTTAAAATCATGAGTTAATTGAGCGTTCGCGC